TGGACCAAACTGGCTGGCAGCGCCAACCAAAAAAGAAGAGACAAACTGGCTGCTGGCGCCAACCAAAAAAGAAGAGAAGTGTGCTGCTGGGGATTGTCGTGTCCTTTGGACATCTGTTAAACCACCAGTACCTTCTTTTTTTTTTTTTTTTTAAGAAAAACAGGAATTTATGCCCAGCTCACTTGGCGTACTACTCTTTCGCCTTTTACTAAACCACCAGTACCTTGCCCAGGCAAAAAATCAAGATTGCATCAATCCTACTCTTGATGTTGTTACCGCAGTAGGTGCTATATGGCAAGCTGAGTGTTCCTCGGTTCCCCAATGAGCTAAACTCTTGTGCTTGTATGAAAATTCTCACATGAACACCATGAGCATGGACAACATGAATTCGTTGTCGTCCCCAAGCACCCCAATCATGCATGTGTGTGGACGAGAGACGGTTAACAGGGGCCCAAATATTCGCCGTTTTCGTTGGCAATTGCGGTGCGAATTTCATCAAAAATTAAAAAAACAAACGATATGAGACCATAGTGCAAACATCAAAAAAAGAAACAGGCAAAAAAGAACGAAAAAAAAACAAAAAAACACTATGAAACCCTAACACAAAAACACTGTCCGAGTCAAAATGAAGCGTCCAACGAATTCAACAAAATGCCAACTTTTTCATTATTGATCCAAACATGTCAAAACTGCACACATGACGCACATATATATCACACAAAAAGAAAAACAAGAAAAAAAGCAAAAAATCAGCACAATATGACAGTTTCAGTGCAATTCGGTGCAAAATTCGTCGAAAATAACACCCCTGGTAACCAGGTGTGGTGTGGACTACCTTTCCAGTCTGATACAGTGATGATGAGGGTGTGTTCAGTTTCGGCGAAGAAGGTAGCAGCAGGGAATACTTTTTGGGTGACCTCTCCATAAATTCAAAGAGCTCCTTTGGTTCTGCTTCTTCGTTTCTCCTTTTTCTAGGTGTTGTTCTCTTTGAAAATGTCTTGGAATGTCCATAAAGGCCAGTAGTTCTTTGGTTGTCTGTCGAATCCATCTGTTGTTTTTTTGTGCTCTTCTTTTAAACCACCACTTTGTCTGGACCTGGCCTACCGAGCCTAATGATACCAGTTTCTCGAGGGGAAATTGTGGGCCAGTTGCAGTCATTAGTAACCATAGATAGACAGGGGGCTTGCCCCTCAAATCGTACATACCTTCCGACAAGCCATACCTGTGGTAGGCAGTTCACACACGTATTGCTAGTGCAGGCAGGCGCCTACCACAAAATCATTCTGCATGCATGAATAGTGTAAGTGGTGCTAATTGCGAGCTCTCGTCTCTTATGGTTCGCTCACCTATTTTTGTTTTTTTTTTATGATCCTTCTTCATTCACAAGGCAAAACTCAATTGCACGACAATGAAAGACTTGCTGAAACTCAAATGAAGAGGTTAAGAGAGATAAAGAGTGGAGTGGAATGAAGACAATAGAAGACGAAGAAGGGATGAGGTTAATAATGCATTGGAGGTTAGAACCTCGCCTATGACATCCCTTCAACTGCGTGCTCAACTCCTGTTCGGTTACCCACTCTTTCCTTTCTTCACTCCTCCATAGGTGACTTATTTTCCATACCCCATTCTTGACCCATGATAGCCATTTGTGATCTAAATGCAGGGGATTATCGCCTTCGTCTTTAACCCATTGGTTGCCGAACAACGGTTGTCTCAGAACCTCGTCTTTGGACCTTGGTCTATTAGTCTTCTTTGGCATAATTTCTCTCCATATCCGAATCAGAGCTGTCCAGTATGGGGTGGGACGAGTGGATTCCTCAGCTCTAGTTCCTCTTCTTGGTTTTCTCTGCCCTGTCTTGGGGCTCCATTCCTTGGTCATTTCCCAGAACAGACCTGTCATGTTTTCTGGTGAGGCCACTGGCGCCAACGCTTTAATGCTATCTAAAGCTAGTTTGTTCCATGCGTTTCCAGGCGTCATCAGAAGCTTGATTATCCATTTAACCTTGAGGGCCCTTGTTTCCTGTCTAGGGTCTATAACCCCTAGACCCCCATACAACGGTTTTCTCGTGATATACTGCCAGGCAATCTTAGGAATACAAACCTCTTTGTTGGGGTTCCCCGTCCATAAATAGGACCTTGCTCTGTGGTTAAGTTCCTTAATCGAGCTATCCGGTATTGTTCAGATTGAGGCTATATACCACATCATAGAGAACATTGATGTGTTGAGAACTAGGGTTCGACCAATTGTGAGGTGAAAGTGTTCCCCCATCTCCCTAGTTTATTAATTTGCTTTGTCAGGACATTTTGGGCCATTTGGGGCGCCAGACCCTCCATCGTCATAAGGATACCAAGGTAGTGGGTCGGGGTGTCCGACGTTTCCCACGTCATGGCGGCCTCAGGCCCTTGCATATGAGGGAGGTCCTCGTTTGGTAGCCACCATCCTACCGTCTTTTTCCAGTTGATCCTCATCTCTGAGGCCAATCTGAAAGCTTCCATGGCTCTAGCCAAAGTTCTGAATGAGGAGTCTGAGGCTCTGATCAGGACAGTAAGGTCATCTGCGAACATGATTACTGTCGGGAAGTTCATATGGTGGGCTGACCCCACGTTGACCTCTGGGAGTTTGTGAATGGACGGGTCCTTGTGTGAGAGTGACGCAATAGCTTCCATTACGAACAGGAAGATCGAGGGAGCTAGCGGATATCCTTGACAGACTGACCTGGAGATTGGATAACATAAAGACAACAAGCCATTTACCTGTACACATCCTGTAGCATCGTTGTACAAGATGCGTATCCATTTCCTAAGTTTGGTCCCACTCCCATCTTCTCCATGCTTGCGTCTAGGAAGGTCCACGTCACTTGATCATACGCCTTTTCGAAGTCAAAGAAAAGGATGGTTGTGTTTATCCTCTTTTCTCTGACCTTATTGGCGGCTTCATTTAGAGTCGATACGTTGTCCAGTATCTACCTCCCTGAAATGAAACCTGATAAGGCTTTGACCAAGATCTTGTAGGGGAGCGTAAGGAGCGAAATAGGCCGGTAGTTCCTGATGTCCTCTTTATCTCCCTTCTTGTACAACAGCGTAACTATGCTACTAGTTAGGAGGCTTCCTAGTCCCCCTTTCGCCCAACTGTCGTTGTAGAAGTTTAGCAAGTCGCCACCTAGCAGTGGCCAAAATTTCTCCCAAAAATATTTCGTTAACCCATCAATCCTTGGTGATTTATCATTGTTCATACTCTTGAGTGCCTGATATGGTTCTTCCGAAGTGAGTGGTTTGTCTAGCGCTTCCGCTTGCTCGGTTGTTATCGTCTGTTCTAGGTATTGTAACATCCTTTGTTTTGCTTCCCTTCACGTGCTTTCTCAAGGACGTCGGAGTATAGCGAAGACGAAGGGTTGTCAATCAGGTTGGTCTCATCGATCTTTAGGGCCGATTCCAGAGTCTGTCTCCTTTGTTTTCTGATGGTAGCTAGCTTCCTTGAGATTTTTGCCACTGTCTGGGAGAGAGCGGAGTAGCTCTCTTGGAACCACTTCCATCTATCATGACGTGTGGCTCTCTGGTTTTGCCAACATACCCCGCCCTGAAAAATCTGACTCAATAGGAGAGAGTTGTTTAGTTTGTAAAAACTGGCCCCTTTTCTCACAAAATGCTCAAAGCTGATTATGAGCTCAATCGGCTTATGGTCCAAGCCCGAATATTTTGCAAGAGGTAGAATTTCAGCACTTTTGACCGCCCCCATCATTGTCTCTGATACCAAGAAGTAATCTATGAATGAGAAGGCAATGTGATGAGCGCGATTCTTTTTTATTAGTGTGAAGGTCCTTTTGGTAGGGTGCAGAGTTCTGTACGGTTTTACCAGGTTGTGATCTAGCATCAATTTCTGGATTGGTATCGCCTCTTGTGTGTTAGGTGAGCTGGACGAACTTGATATACGGTCTGTGGAGGGATCTATCGCGGCGGGGGGGAATCATTCTGCTTAGATTGGCGACAAAGGTGGTCCTCTCGGATGAATCATTTGGAGCATAGACGTTGATCAATACAAACTCTTCCTCTTTCCATTTGAAGTGCATGAGGCACCATCTTCCATCACGAGGGTCGGCTTTTTTGTCTAGGATCCTTCCTGCCGTGTAGATACGAGAGGATTCGGGGACCAGAATGGTTGTCCCGTTCGTGCTCAATACACTGTCTGCAGCCCATATTTCATCTTTGATACCTCCTAGTTTCCTTGCTAAGAAAGTCCGAATTCTATTGTGTTCAGCCGAGAGGGTAAGATGGGTTTCTTGTAACATTATAATGTCAGCTATTTTATTGTTGTGTACTGTCAGACCTTTGATTGAGTCGTTCAGTTTGTCTTCTTTGTCTACGATATTACCCAACCCATTGATGTTCCACCTTCGGATAACTAGCCCGTGATACTTCCAGTCTTTCCGTTCTGCCCCCTTATTCGCTACTCTTCTGAGCTTCTCCATCCTCGCAGCTATCCCGGGTGGCTTTCATTCATGGTGTTGAAGGTAGGAGCTCTACGGGGGGGCAGGCACGCCCGTGTCCATTCCCACTGGTTCGTCACCAGAAGTGGGATATTTCTGGATTCTCAATGGGACAAAATGAGAAATTTGCACTGCTATACTTGAACAGGATCTCCTTAGGTAGAAAAATCTTCTGCATCTACGGAAACAGCATACAAAAAAACAAAAAAAATAAACAGACATTGTTGCTGGTGTGGCGCACGGGTAGGTTGTGTGCATCGCGGCCTACCGCACTGCACGGCTGCAGTCGCAAGTATGCTTCACAAACAATGGCTTACTCGCATGCAAGCAAACAACATTCTCACTCAGAAATCGGAAATCTCAGCAAATCAAAATCATGCAGCAGCATTTCTGCAGCAACACTCAGCAACATAAATCTCAGACTGACTTCTCTGTGTTGGTCATTGCATCTTTTTCAAGGTGATGGTTCTGATGGCTATTGCCTTGGGTGGACAGCTGCCGTGTCCTGAGGAATTGACGCGAAGTGAAGGCTGCTACTTCGATTTTGGGGTGTGCCAAATGACACTCTTGTGTTCATCTAGCCCAGGTATGAAGTACTATGAACTTCATAATTTTTCTTGTTTGCTTTCCCAGCTTCGGGTTTCTCGTTCCGATCTGGTGGTAACAAAAACAACATTCGAAAGTTGGAGTTATTTTTTTGTTGGATGCCTGCCTCTTGTTTGCGAACACAAGTCTAATAGTCCCCACCCCTTTAGAACTGAGTTCTATACACCTGGAACTTTTCCAGGCTTGTATTCCATGCCAAGAAGTCAAACACTCCTTTTTTTTTTTCTTTTTTTTTTTTTTGAAAGAAACATCCCTTGTGGGTGCTAAGAACAAACACTGCTAGATTTTTAGGTACAGCAGCTCCATTGGTACATCCATGAACTGTTGAAATACAGACCTAATTTGGATCCAGATGGACTCAGATGAGTATGATAACTGTGCTTCGGGACATCCATTAAAATTGGAATGATACAAAGAAGATTAGCATGGCCCTGCGCAAGGATAACACACATAAATCGTGAAATGGACCAAAAGAAAAAAAAAAGATGAGAATGATAACTCTGCATTTACCTGGGACCAGCCATTTTCAAGATTGTATCTCGAGTCCGCTGCCCAGAAGGGGGGAAAAAAACAAACAAACAATCTCGGTCATCCACAGGTGACACAGTTTGAGGCCCAGCATTGCATTGCATTCTCAGAAACAACCTCAGGTGCAGTGCATGAGGACTAGATCCAACAACCGTGGGTTCATTTGAGCTGTTTGATTAAATGCATCTCACCGATTCATTGCTACCGTCGTCACCCGAATAGAACGCCGGGTCATTATCGCTGCATCTGGACAGAAAATTGCCCCAAATATGGCTATAATGACTGGGCGTCTAGCTTTCCCGGGGCGCCTCGCCCGGGTAGGTACCTCGCCCGAGGTACCCCGGGCATGAAAAAAATCTGCCGATTTTTTTTTTTTTTTTGGTCTACGGGGGTTTGCTGCGCTTGCCGAGTACGGCCCAAATCCAGCCTTGTTTTTCATTTTCAGGCATATTGGTTTCTGTGTGTTGGGGGGTTGGGGGGGGGCGGGGAGGCCTATGGCGGGAGAGAGGAGGGAGGACTTTGAGGGGAGGAAGGAGGGAGGACTATGGTGGGAGGAAGGAGGGAGGGAGGGGGACTATGGCAGGAGGTACGAGGAGGTAGGAGGAGGTAGGAGCAGAACTCTACCGGAGGTAGGAGGAGGTAGGGGCAGAACTCTAACGAAGAAGGAAAAAAGAAGAAGAAGAAGACTGTCCCGTCCCAGAAGGACCGTAGAGAGTAAGAAGAGGAGGAAGAAGAAGATGACTAAGAAGAAGGGAAGAAGAACAAGAAGAGAAGGAGAGAGTAAGAAGAGGAGGAAGAAGAAGATGTAGAAGAAGGGGACAAGAAGAAGGAGGGAGGGAGCCTATGGAGGGAACCTATGGAGGGAGGTGGGGGGGGAAGGGAGACTGATGGAGAGAGGGAGTCTAACAAGGAGGAGGACGGGGAAGAGAGACTGATGGAGGAGGAGGGGGGAGGGAGTCTATGGAGGGAGGAGGGAGGCTATGGCAGACGGAGCCGAAGCATAATCAAGCATTGCCACACAAAAAAAAGGATGATGATTTGTTGATGAAGCGCTATGGTGGAGGAAGAAACAGTGAGGAAGAAGAGAGCAGAAGCAGAAGCAGAAGCAGAAGCAGAAGCAGCAGCAGCAGCAGAAGAAGAAGAAGAAGAGGCGGCAAGAAGAAAGGGAAGAAGAAAAAAAAGAACCGATGAAGAATAAGAACAAATAGAAGAAGAAACAACAAAGAAGGAAAAGAAAAGAAGACGAAAAAACAATGAAGAAGGAAAAGAACACGACGAAATGGAGGAGAAGAAGGAGAGGAAGAAGAATGAGACAAAACGAAGAAGAACAAACAAATACATAGTAGAGATGAAGAAGAAGTAGAAGAAAAAAAAGAAGAAAAAGAAGAAAAGAACTTACCGGAGATGGCGATGGCTGCGCAGGCAGTCTTCATCAGGGGCGGGGAGGATGGCGTGGCTGGACAGCGATGACGGTGGCGCGCCGGAGGGCAGCAGGGTGATGACGACGATGGCTCGGCAGGTAAACGGTAACGATGGCGCGGACGACAACGGCAGGGAAACAACGCGCTGGTGCGGGGGGGTAGGCCGGAGGGTGCAGGGCTGCGAGGTAAGTCCCAAGGTTCGAATTCAAAATATTGGGACTTCCGTGCCATCGATCAACGCAGATCGACGGCCCAGGTCCCGGGAAAAGAAAAAAAAAAAACACGAAATGGGGGCTACTGGACCCCCAAAAAAATTGGGGCGGCCGCCATAATTTTTTTTCCCCTCTGGGCCTTCAGCCGAAAGCGCAAAAGATTTTTTTTGAAGCGATTTGTGGGGCGGCGCTGTGGGGGCCCTGGGGCCTGGCCAGGGGGGTCGCACGGCCGGGCGCCCTGAGCGCCCTTCCGGGCGACCTGGGGTGGCCTGGGCGCCCGGGGTGGAAAGCTAGCTGGGTGTTCTATTTGAGTGAAGACGGTAGTCGTTCTATAGCATTAAATACTATTGATTCTTCTGTAACATTCTGTGCTTAGACTTACGTTGAGCAGCAGCTGTACATTGAGCAGCAGCTGTCGGAGGCAGGAACACCAAGGCAGCTACCATAACTACCGTCTTCACCCGAATAGAATGCCTGGTCATTATAGCTGTATGTGGACTCGAAATTGTATCGGATATGGCTATAATGACCGGGCATTCTGTTCGGGTGAAAACGGTAGCTGGTGAGTGGCAACCTTAGCTCGAGGATAGGAGGGAGGCAGGGCGAGGGTGAGGAGGTAGCACTTTGTCATTCATCATATTGATATATGAGAAAGCCATAACTTTCCACTGAGAGCAGGAGTGGGTGGCTGCCATAGCATGCAAGGTTGTTGCAGGTGAGAGAAGACCTAAATTGTTGACACAGTCCATTGTCTCTGTCCAACTTTGTCAAGCAGCCATGTTTGCTGGATGGACGTTCTGGTGATGATGGATGGAGTTTCTGTGGCTCGACTTCTACTTCGCCATCGCTGTGATCATGTGAATACTCGATCTAAGTCAACAACTCTGTTCTTTGGCCACCCTCTCTCTCCACTTGAAGCTTCCCCTACATCCCCTACATCCCCTACATCCCCTACATCCCCTACGATGCTGTAAAGCCCATCAGGCACAGGAGCCATTCTTTTTGCGTCTTCGATTGGGGTACGTGTGTGATGTGATGCGTTCCTGCGACAACGCCGATTGATTTTCCACGACTGAAGTCAAATTCCGCGCTCTGTGGTGTTCTGCAGCGTTCATCTCTCCTGGATTGTCCGGTTCCCTGTGAGCCTTCGGATAGGGGTCGTTCAAAGAGACTCTGTTCGTTTGGCCTTGAGTTCTTTTTGTCGTTTCTTTGTGCCTTGGGTTCTCTTGTTCCTTGGGATTCGAACATACATTTAATAAAAAAAGTTAAAAAAACTAAATATTAATAAATATATATTTATATTAATACACAGCGTACAAGTGGGCTGTTATGGCACACGGGGATGGGGCCAGCTCACGCTCAACTTCATCAACGTGGCGAGCCTTGTACGTGAGAGGCACGGTGAAAGGGGAGTCAAAAGAAGAATGAGTAAAATGAATGGTTTCACTGTGCCCTTCATGTTTATCTGTTTTTTTTTTTGTTTTTTTTTTTGCC